TTTATCCTGAGAACTGTCCAAATTATATTCTGTGGACCTACTTGTATTTAGGTAAAGATAAACTGAGAGCTGATAGCAGGGAATTCTTGAGAGAAAAGGATTGGAAAAGCTTGATATATAAATTTATGTGAAGAATTTTAATATGTCATGTCTTTTAACTATATATTGTTATATATATTATATATTGTTATATATTTAACTATATATTGTTGTTGACTATTGGACATTTTACCAACTTATTCACTGCAATTGTTTATTCTGCTGCATGAACTGAGTGCAGGAATCTGCAATATGAAAATATTTAGAAGAGAATTGGTTTCTTATTTCTTTTATTAAACATTAGTGCTTAATAGCTTTTCACAAGGTGTATTTATACACCCACTCACCCTCACACACACACACACACACAGGCCTTTTCTCCTTCCTTTAAAGAAACTACATGAAAGCGTAACAGACACAGATCCAGCTAACTCCTCTGAGGATGCTTCAGGGGTAGCTTGTGTTGCATTTCGTGCAGGAATCTGCCAAGGTGATTTCTATGGTAACCTCTATTTGCATTCTTTCAAATGATGGTAAAATCTGACACATTCCATTAAATATTGATAGCACTGTTTCATCTGCTGGAAACCCACATGGGAATATTTAACTTTATCTATTGTCTGAGACTATTCTTTTGTATCAGCAAGCTTTATACAGTTAAAATGTTAATTAGATTTTTATAACCATTTTTATCATTTTGCTCTTCATCTAGATTGTTCCAAACACATTTATTTACAATTCCAAAATGGTTCCATTAATATTCCACAGCATCTTGCTCAGAGATTAGTTTAATAGCAAACCTCAAAAATGTACTTAAAGGCTTGTGAAACACCTACAGAATCAAAATACTACAAATTTTTTTGGCTAATGGCCAAGTGATTTGTAAGAGCAGATTTTAAGGAAAAGAGACAAGTCTGAAAGAGAAAATGGCATAATTAGTTTCAAAATTGCACTGGTTTCTCGAACATGAAACAGTTGTGAAACTCTTTACAAAAAGGATTTTTTTTATTGGTGGGGTGGGGTAAAGTAGGCTAAGAAAAATGGAAAAAATAGAGTGCAGGTAATTTTATCTTCATGAGTGACACATGAAATAGCTCCAAAGAACTGAAAAAACTCCCAATCCTCTGGAAAAATAACCTGGCATCACACTAAGGATTATGTGTTCATTTTATATTAAACAGTGTTTGGGGATCTGGCTGGTGACTGTTTCCTTATGAAGAAATTAGCAAAGGTGAATTTGTGTCAGAGGCTCTGAACCGCTACTGTTTTGTGTTTCACATCTCTGCTTACACATCTGAATAGTAAATACACGCTGGATTTAAGGCACCACTAGGTAAAGAGGGCACCACTGCTGCTCACCAGCATGCAGCAGAACAAAGAGCCAGCATCTGAACAAGTGGTAACAACACAAGTTTAAATTGCGGTGACCTTTTGTTATTTGATCTGCTGGCCTACAGGTGGAAAGGGTTGCACGGTAATGGGGAACTTCTGACCTGCTTTGCACTTTTGAGCAGGTTCTGTGCTGTGAGGTAATTACAGGAGATGCTTTTAGAAAATTGGTCGTAATATCAAGGTTTTCTGGGTTCCATTAAAGTCTGGAATCAGAAATCCTTTTGCTGAGACAGAAAATTGAAAATATTTGATACAAAGACTGGCTTTGTGAAGAGAAGCAGCACTATACATGATGCTAAGTGGTGAAACTACAATTCTTTTGAATTGTTTACTTCATATCCCACCACCAGACCATCTCAGTTATAGATGCATAGCTAGTGGGAATTAATCTGTTTGCAGATCTCGTACAAATCATGGATCATGTAGCTCCAGCTTTACTATCTAAAGCATTATTACTAAGAATTACTAATCTCTATCCAGTTTAATGTCACATCCTTCTCCTTTGGTTTTTTTTTTTTTTTCCCAAGACTAACTTCCTGCTGAGATCTTTTTGGAATCCGTTGAAAAGTCAATGGTGTGATATTACAGCCTTATATGATGCATTTAGAAAAATCCTTGGAAGCTTTGAAATGGTGTGAACAGTTCTCTCCAGGGCCTAGAGGCTACCTTCAGTGCTCTTTTATGAAAGTCTAACTGCAGTTCTTTTATGATAGTGCACAACTGTTCAGAGCAAGGATAGAACACGAGCCATTGCTTCCGAGACTGATTAGGGACAATGCAGTGGAAAAGTAGGGAGGCAAAGGAAGTGGCACGGGGGGTGTGGGAAGCGAGGTGGGAAAGGAAAAGAGGGAAGCCTAGAGGTAAAGGGAAATAGAAGGAAGAGAGAAAATATTGATAGAGGTTTGTGCTGCCAAAGTTGATTAATGCAAATGAAGTGGCAAGTTTCCAGAGCAAATCCAGGTTAAGTACTGTTAAGCACTACAACAAGGCTCAGAATCAGATTTCATAAACCCTGTGGACTGGAGCCAATCAAGTGTTGTGGTCACATGGTCTTGGAATCACTGGGAAGGTAATACTAAATTCTCCTTTGAATTGCTTTCTGTATTCCGCTGTGCCCTGGAGGATGGAGGAGCACAAGGAGTATCTACCTGTTTGTGATGTGCCAAACTGATGAGGAGTAATATTACTGTTCTCAGCAGCAAGGAGTCTGTGCTTTGTCACAGAGAAGAACCAGGGCTTGTAACTTTGGGCTCAGTGATAAAGAATATAAAAAATTAGTCTGAACACAAAACATAGCAAATCCAGTTTGGTTGGTGCTGCACCTGCATTAATGAAATTTGATGGGTCTGAGCTGGACCTGTACCACTTACCTCTACTGCAGCATCTTTCCCTTGCAGCTCACCAGGTGCCACCAGTGCTCAAAGTGCTGGACAAGATGTGCTTTTTGGCTAACTAGCTAACCAAAATTAGGGGCAGGTAAAGGTGCCTTGCACATTTCATCAGTCCTCACCTAGTCATTCCTCATGAAGCTTACTGATAACTGACATGTGCAGTACAATGATTTTGTTCATAAAACAGACTTATTACCCTAGAACCAGACCCTAGCCTTTTGAAGCCATTAAGAAAAATACTACTAATTTCAACAGGGGCAGAATTTACATATTGTCTTTTCAAAAGAAGAGGAAAATTGTTTTAATTCTGTAGTCCCACAGGAAAGAAGGACTGTGGCAGCTCAGAACTCAGTGAATGTAAAAAAAAAAAGTAAAAAAAAGTACATGTATGTATCTTATAATTCAGACATGAAATTTACTAGCTCTGTGAAATCATATCCTGTTGGCAGGCATAAACAACATTTGTTTAGTGAGATCGTTCTGTATCTTTCCTTTCTCTTTCCTTCTTTTCCCTTTCACATTTTAAGTGATATTATTACAGATAAGAACAAGCAAAATGGCTACATACATCCTTTCCATTGCATCCAAAGACCTCTGAAATACAACAATATAAATATATATATATATATAAAACCACCAATCATTCAGTGTAATTTCACTCTAATCTACCTTCAAAAGATGTATTAACAAGAAGCTGAGTTATCCTCACCTTCAGAGAGAGGTCACAGAACTAAGGAAAATAATGATGACAGTGTTTTAGGCAGCTGCAAAATACTAGAGCATAATCAGGCTGAATCACTGTGAAGTGGTGAAGCTCTGGCCCTCATGTTAAGTTTTCCACTGTGCTAACTGCATGAACATAAGCTGTGCTGGTTGTACCAAATACAGAATGGGAATATGTACCAGACTTCTGCCTGGTGTGACAATTCTGCCTACTCTGGGTTTATGTCCCAAAGCCACATAAGGACAAGACCAGTAACTCATATTAGCTCCTTTTCACATAAGGAAAACCTGGATATGTGAGCCAGAGGTGAGACACAGAAATTTCAGTCGCATTTCTGCAAGAGAATCAGGACTTCAGGGTTTCTCTCTTTACACATAGCCTAAAATAACTCAAAATTTAGCCCTGAAATCAAGTATATTTATACATGCTTGCACCTGCACACATGCATACTAGGTTCCCTTGACATAGACAGACAGATTTCTGACACTTTAGGGTCTCTGAGACCTTCCCCATAAGACAGCTTTCTAGAGCATGCAGTAAAGGAAGACCCACACTGCCCCGACTGGAGGATAAGCAGGATAACCTACAATGCCTAACATGATTCTTGACAGCTGTTTGTGCAGCTGAACCCTGTTCAAGATGTCAGGCTTGGAGAGTTCCCTTCTGAAGTCCTTTCTATTGTCAGCCAAAATACAGACTTCTCCTCAGGCAAAACAATTCACAAGATATGTGAACAGTGAACTTTTCTATGCTCTCTTGGAGGAGTTGTCAGGGTAATGAGATCCCAAGTACAGGCAATTAGACACCACTGTATTCACCTGAACAAAATAATTTGCACTGTGGAGAGAATAAGGGGAATTCAGAAGACAGCAGGAGAAAGGAGGTTGAATGCTGGTATCTGTGTTAAGAATCATCATGTGTTCCTGGTTGGATTGCTAAAAGTTGACCATATTGCCTATCATTTTCATGAGTAATAATTCCTTTAGCATCAGCAGAGAATGTTTACATTAAATAATTCAGTCTTCCAAATACTTTCAAGGGTCAGGCCCTCTGTTGGGATGAAGCAGAGGGAGAAAAAGGGAAGAAGTGGAGAGAAAGAGCAGCAGGAGGTAAGGACTGTCCAAAAGCAGAACTGCCACCAGCAGAATAATTATTTTTGCCATGAGTAGGAGATCTGCACTAGAGGCAGCTATTAATTTTTGCCCCTCAGTTGCCCCCAAAGTCAAATCAATGTTTGTATAGCTCTTCTCCAGCTGGGGGACTAAAAATTCATGTAGTGAAGATTATCTTTCCTTACCTTTCTCTTTCTCTCAGCCCCCAATTGATTTTAGAGTGCACTTAGAAGGCAAAATTAACAGCTTTGCTTCCAAACATCAGCTCTGGTAGCTAATGAGACAGGTAAAGAGCTGTATGACCAACTTTCTGCTTCTCTATTCTGATCTCTACACAGATCTCACTGACTGGAGAGATGTTAACTCCTAAAACGATGGACACGCTGAGCTAAAAAGGGAAATTTCACACATGGCTTTGAAAAACTGTCAGACAGAATTATGGTCAGTACCACTTCAGTAACACTGAGTGAGATACCTGTGATATTTCATTGGCTCTTAAGGCCATCCAATCCCTATTTTCAATTATTTTCAGTACCTTCCCTTCCCTTCCCTTCCCTTATTCTTATTAAGGATTTTTGACTTCAGATGCAGTCCCATGGCATTGCTGACAGTGAATTTTAGTCTATACAACTTTCATACTGCTGCCATTAGAAACCTATTATGTGTGTGACTATAGTTGCTTCCCAAAATATCTCATCTTCTAAGATGTGGTATTTAGAAATCCTACCTCCTGAGAGCAGTTTGAACTTAACAAAGAGATAACTGGCATTAAAAAAGAGAAAGCTAAGAAGATTTTAAAGCATATTAGGTTCTGCTCTTTATAAATTAAATTTGACAAACTTAAGATTTTAATTTTTCCCTTTGTGTAAAACAAAAAGCCACTGAAACATAGTTATAAAGCTTTAAAAAATATCCCACAAAAGTACTGTTTTAAGTTTAAGACAAGTAGCTGAATCTGAGATTCAGTCTTGTGAAAGTGCAAACAGCATTGACTATATATTAGATGAAAGGGTGTTTATTGACATGGACAGACAACAAAACTTGATCAAATCCTTAACCTTTTTGCAACTTGAAAATGAGGCTAATGAAATATCGTAACAAAAAGAGGATTGATTATGAAAAAAATGTAAAATATCTTAAGCAGAAATAAGTAAGGGTTAGAGAATACTGTTAAAACAATTTTAAACAAATTTCAAAAAATATTAAAATTACATCCTTCTCAGTAAAATCCATTACTTGAACTTGAAGTGCCTTTTTTTGTGTAATTACTAGGGAGATCAGGTTTCAGTGAACACCCAGGTTTGGTCAAAACTTCTGAAAATGTTGGAGAAAAGTACAAAATTGTCAATGTAAAGATGCAGAACAAGACAGTTAATTTGAGCTCTCAAAATAAAAGGTTGCTTTAGCTTCTGTGTTAGCTGGGCTCAGGTTCTGGGTAAAAGCCATGACATTAGTTAACTGACCCAGCCTGAGGTTTCAACAATCCTGATTTTGTCTTGCTTTTTGGATTTAGTCATGTTATTTTTCCCACTTGCCTGAGAAACCAGACAAATCCCTGGTATTCTGATCCTATTTCTTGTCCACTGGTGTCCAAAGTCAATGTATTTCTCAGTCACTGGTATGTAGCTATGCATTTAAACTACTTTTCTGAAAATATACTTTTTTAAAAAAGTTTTTTTAAACACAGATGTTTTCTCAGGACAAGATTTCCAGGTGAGAATGTGTTTCTGAACTGCCTGCTCTGGCTGTCAACAGCCCAAAAAGGTTCATCCCCTCAATTTCTTCTCACTGTGCTGAAGTCTTCATCTGGCATTGCTCATTTTTAATATCTTTTAATGAGCATAACAGCCCCTTTGTCCTTTGGCACCCAGTAGATTGGCTCTTATATGAATGCCACACATTCCTGTATTCTAGATATATATTACAGTCCCCACTATCTAAAAACATAACAATACAACTAAAAGACAGCATGCAAAGTTATACCTAGAGAATTGGAGCCACATGGAGACCCATATATTAAATTTCTGAGAGGTGTCTTTTGACACAAATATATAGCAGAATGAGATTCTGCTATATATTTTGAAACTGGCCCAATTGACCTGCTTTTGTAACAGAACATTGTGCACCAGGCTGTAACTGTGAATGATTTCTGCAATGCACCAGGGCAGTGTGTTAATTCTGTACAGTTAGTTAAATTCTGGGAAGGAAATCAAATTCTGAAAATGTTATTTTCTCCCATGAACAGCAAAAACCAGTGCTCCATCCGTGGTAGGTACTTAGTGTCACTTAGGGATACTATCCACTTTTTGTCAAGTTCCCTGCTCAGGTTGCCTTTTCTTTTAGCTAACCTCAAAGATGACCTGTTTTCTTTTTCCTGCTTTATGACACTTACACAAGCTGAAGAGAAAATCAAAAGCAAGAAAGGTGTTATTATCAAGGCACTGCTTTTTCAACTTTTCTCTTGTTTTTCTTCTGCAAACAGCAAGGTGCCAAAAAAGCATCATTTGATAGACACTAAAACATGAAGAGCAGACATCTCATCTACATTTTTACGAAGAGTAAACAAGTAGGACATTTATGTAAAGTGGGTATTAAACTTCCCACTCCTTCCCCTCCCTCCACACGTTGTTTACTACTGTAGTTTTGTAAGGGAGGAAAGGTTACATGGGTTTTTTGGGGGTTTGTTGCTGTTTTTTTTCCTCCTGTATTCCTCATATTTGTTTTATTAACTCTTTGGGCGTTTTTATAATTTCTTTCTACTTTGGTGGAAAAGCTTCTGGGCTGTTTTGCTTGAGAAAGTGTATTGCAGGTGACAGTGAAGAAATGTGGCTGCTCTTATCTTTGTGTTGTCTGGCAGTTCCCTGTGTCTGTAGCTTACAGCGGTCTTACCTTCTACCACGTGCTTTGTACTGCTAGCATGAGTGACCCAAGCCATCATCCACCCCTTCTACTCTTTAGCTTTGCACTTGGAGTACTACTTTACACAGAGTTTCCGCTAGTTCTGAATCCTTGTTACTGTTATTTCTCTCATCCATCTCTGTAGGAATTGTTACCCTATTCCCAGCAGCATATTCATGGACATGCAGAGAAGAGGGCAGAGGTAAAAATCAGTCTTGCAGTGTATAAAATGGAAAAAAAATCCTTCTACAGGACATGATATAAATTTAACTTCTTTCCCCGGGGGCGGGGTTTGGGACCCCCCACCCCCAACAAATCTGTTTGGTGCATGCTTGAGAGAGTCTGAGCCAGGAAATGGAATAAGTCTCTGCAGACATGGCAGGTACATTTGGTGCAATGGAGGTAGCATGACAGGGCTCTATTACAGTAAATAATACAATTCCAGAAATAACCTATGCGGAACATATTGCTTCTGCTGCACATGTCAGGGAATGGACTTTGATCGATGTTGTTGCAACACAAAACCACATACTAAAACTTTTTAATTATGATGACAGTGTAAAAGTGTTGATGGTGCTCACTGGCAGTGTTCATAGTCTTTATAATTAACAAATGGACAGTGCAGATTAATTCTGCATGCTCTTCATGTTTCACAATTCTTTCTAGTTGCTGCCATCAGCACGTATGGAGGCAATAAGGCACGAGAGAGGCCCTGGTTTTCCTCACCTCTTGGGTGTTATCAGCATTCTCAAGGGGAGTGATTATCTCACGATAACCACACCACCTGGATCTACCATATTGCTGCTATAAAAATCCATTAATGTAAGAGAAAAACGTATTTTTGTGCTAGAGGATGGAGTTAGGAGTTCAGAATGCTAAAGAGCTTTATAAAGAGCTCTAGTTTTCCTCTATTCAATTCCATATGAGAATATTCACTAGGTTACTGAACACCTTTCTCAGTTTTGTGAAATAGACCACTGCTTTAGCAATACTTTTTCATCAGCCTAGTATGAGATTCAACAATTAAAAAGAGATGGCACAACCATCAGAAAGTCACATACCTCAGATTGCCTTCTCAAGGGGATTATCTCAGAAGGCATTCTACACACAGTTTTTCAGAATAAAAAGCACAAGAAAATTACAAATCAAATTGGATAGGAGTGTCTATAATTTTAAATTTCAAGTGGACTAATTTCTGTTCAGCAATGCATTTAGAGTATATTTAATTTGGATTTATCAGAAAATTATGGAATTAAGTACATGGAAATACAATAAATCATTGTCTGCTGTTCTCTGTGATAATGTACCAAACTGTTATCTAATGACTTTGATGTTAATGGAGTCGTACACTCTGCCTGACCTCTTCAGCTCTGGATGGATGTGTATGTGCTTTTTCTGTCCATCAGGTTTTATGCTTCACTCTCAACTTTCCTGCAAATCTTTTATCTTTGCTTCTGCTTAATTTCCTCTTTAGTAGGAGGGAAGATTTTATTTAAATTAGAAGAGTTTTAGTTCTACACTTTTAGGGGTAATTTCTTGGATTTTAAAATCAGTAAATTTTGAAGAAACTGTTAAATTACTGATGTTGTGGCCATCTACTCCCATCGCAAGTGTATTTCTTGCTCTTTCATAGAATTTATCCATTTAATGAAATTTGGCTTGCCTGCCATCCAGAAACAATAGGAGACACACAGAAAGTACCTTTACAAAACTCCTTTTGCTTACTGATTTCTTTTAAATCTGTGCTTAGCATCTGTAGCATTTTGTGGATGTAAAGATGAACCTTTTTCAGACCTTATAGGCAGTGATGGGAGCCATATAGGCAGTCAAGAGAATGTGGCTCAGGGAGTGCTAAGTGGCTACAATGGCACAGAGTATTTAATTTACAGATGACTCCTGCTCACCATAGGTTTATTGTGATTATTCAGCACACACGAACCTAAGGTGAGCTCATCCTTGGGGGTAGGAAGAACTTGAGGATCATTTACTTGTACAGTACCTCTTAGACACTTGGAGTCCAGCTTTAGTGCCTAAAGCTGGGAAGGCAACTTAGGTTTGTTTTTCATGAGTGTACAAGGCACTGTGAAATGTTAACTTCCCTGTCTAGACCCAAAGTATCTGAGCTGTACAAAATACACAGGTGTTTTGGAGACATCACCTGCTCTTGCTAGACTGGAGCTTATGGCACTACTGAAAAGGTTATATCATAGCCATGGGGCAGGAGAGCAGTATATACATAGCAGCAGCAGTTCTTACTATGTACCAAGTGGTGGCCCAGACAGACTCCTTTCTGTGGTGCAGGGAATGGATAGAACAGAAAGCTCTTCTGTTATGGCCACTGAGACCTGGGTTTTGTAAGTGGACTTGTGTTTTTATCAATGATGATGAAATTGCATAGTACAAAGAACTTCATGATGTTCTGTGAGTGTAGAAAGCCATGATGGAGAAAGGAGTCAAAATCATCTTGTGCAACACCTTATCTTGTTCCCCGAGTAGTTGCAGGGAAAGACTTGTGAAGATACATTTTTGCAGATTTCTTGCACCACAAGATATTTTCTGTGTCTGTTAACACCTAATGCAAAAAAAAAAAAAAAGACTGTATAACTGTTGAAGCTTGCACTTGAGAGCATGGCTGTCATTTATAATATTTGGCATGTGCAAGTCAAAAGTCTTGTTTTTTAATCTAGTTCACCATTTTGGCTTAGAAAAGTAGCTATATGAGACACACCACTAGAGAAGGCCTTTGTTTTACCCTAGACAGAGTCTAGGAGCATCAGCAACTCCTTGTCTCTTGCTGACCCCACCAGCTGCTGGAATGGAAATCTAATTTAATCAAAAATAAATGCTGTTCAAGATCTTCATGGAACTTTACTTTTATGTTCAGGATTGGAAAAAGGACTGAACTAGAGACATGAGAGCTCCTGTAAGATTGGTCCTGACAGGGGTTAAATGAGCCTGCAGTGCTCTGTAGGGAGCCAGGCATCAGCAGGGACCTGTCCATCTGTTTGGTTTCTCAAGACTGCTGTAGAGCAGTTGTGTCTTATGATTGATGTCTAAAGGAATCATTTCTTATAAATTCCAAATGTTAATATGCAGGAGACTTGGCTATTCTTCTCTCTTCCAAGATACCTAATGACAAGCTCTTTTAGAGTTCCATTACTTAGTGTTGGTCCTTGTTTCCTATAATTTCCAGTTCCTGACTGAACAAGGAACTCTGCAGCCTGGAAATATGACATTAGCTGATGCCTATAGCATAGTGTAAAAGTAGTATCCAGTAACCAAATATGATAAATTACTAATGCCAGTCGATCAACATGAGTTTGTTGCTTCACTCAGACACACAAAAAATCCCAGTAAGCTAGTAACAAAGATGGTCTAGACCTGCAGACTGTTGCCAACATAGACAAAAGAAGTCAAATAATTTACTGCATGACATGTTTCTCCTTCCCAGATTTTTAGCCTGATGGATGCTATTAGTTTCTGTGACTTTTTTTTTCATTTTTAAGGAGTGTTCAGACTTTCCCTGTGAAATATTATTTTGTTCAAAATCTGGTGTTTGCAGCTTTCACATGCTAGATTATATGGTTCATGAGTTGTGCCGTGTGAGTTTTTCTTCATTGTGTACCGTAGCTCATGGTGAGCTTCACAGATCTTGAACAGCTCTGCCTTTGATGGATGTTAGTACATTTTCTCAGTGGCTGCATTTTATTAGTTTCAAAAGATAACAGTCTGTGTAGCCACACACTCAGGTGTTTGTGTGTGTGAAGGGCACCAGGAGGAAAAATGTGAAATCTCCTGCTCTTTGCCAGATTTTGCCCTTCAGATATTTGCATCTGCTTGGTATGATATCTAACATAATAGAGAAACTGTAGAAACTCAGAAGTGCCTCCCTGATATAGAGATAGGAACTGCTGAGATTGAGTTCATCCATACTTTCTGAACCTCTAAGTCCCTCTTTGCTCAAAAAGTATTTAATCCCAAAGACTTTTCAGATTAATAATTTTAAAGAAAATTACCACTTACTCCAATGGAAATTCTGAATTCCTCTGTTATGCCTGAACATAGGTTATTTGGGTACTGGAGGAGCCCTTTCAGAGAGCTGAACTGTGTTTGCTGCCTACATCTGTTTCTAGATCAGCCCAAAGTGGGGGTAGCTTAAGGGTATGGTTCATGAGACTGAAGGCTGTACATAAATTACAGCCATTTAATGTACATAGAAGCCATTTAATGAGTACAAGAGCATTGCTGCATATTCTTGAGCACCATCTGCTGGCATTTTCCTCATCTAACCAGTATTTGCATAATTGGAAGCATTTCTCTTTATAGAATGTTCCTGAAAGAGGCAGGAGCTGAAGCCCTCAGGAAAGTCTGTTTCTTATGCATGCTTGGAAATAGGCCATGTAGAAAAGGTCTGGAAATGGATTTGGAAAAGACTAGCAAGATGTTGCATGAAAAAGCCCTAAATGCAGCATAAAGATTTGTACTGTGATGGGCAATGCCTGGAGTAAGGACTTTGGCATTGCCCATCTCTTTTTTATTCTGCAGCAGGGGTGATAGCAACCATCATCTCTTGCCAAAGTGGTCCCAAGCCAAGGAAAGGGATGGTACGGGGTTTTCTATGAGTTTATTCAGCAGTCAAGATGCCAGATGTGTTTAAGAACCTCCTGAGAAAACTTTCAGAGAAACCTGAGGAGGAGGGCAGTAGAGATGAAGGAAGGAATGTTAACATTAATCTATTTTGGCTCTGATGCATGGATACTCAATATCCACATGTTCTCTTTCTAGACTGAGCAACTCAGTACAGTCTCCAAAACACACTGGAAGAGATTGTTCATAGTATAGGCAATAATAAAACATTTAAAAGCAAGTGAATTAACTTTAAAATAATTATACCAGGTGCAGATACCTGTGCAGACACCTGTGAAGTCTTCAAAACCCTTCCAATAATTTGGCTGTTTAGCTTCACTAAGGAGCAATATTGACTAGTGCCGAGGTGGCCATAGTGACTCTGGTTTAGTCTCATTTCATGAACATGGAAGTCCTACGAGAAAATAACAACAGAACTTATTTCTACATTACAGAAAAGGAAGCTGTTGCTATATGTTTGAGCATTTTTATTATTTTAGCACCTTTAATGTTTCCAAATGTTATGAATATTATTCTGAGTCTTGTGGTGGTGTAAGAACTCCTTAGTGGCACCTGCTGTATTTTGTACTTAGGATTTATGGCAATGAAAGGAAAACAAAGAAGGAAGCACAACACAGTGAATGCTGTTTCCTGCAGAAGGCCGTATTTTTACTGAGGTTCCCTAAAGTTCAGTGGAGTGTCATTGTTTCACCCTGCTCTATCTGTTGGTAGTTTTTTACACAGATACAAAATGCAACTATTAGAATTTTCAAAGGTAACAATGACTACAAGGTCTGAAGCAATCATAGCTCAAAAATATTTTTTCAGACTTCTCTGGAGAAGTTAATTTCTGGGAGAATAGATGTACATGAGGAAAAAATGTTACATAGTCACTGTGCAAAATACCAAACCACTAACAATGATTTTAGACCCATGATTCTTTTTGATGCAGCTCCTTATTTCATCTTCAAGGGGCATCTAGCTCTTCTCAGGAGTTCAGTGCTTTTCCTGGAAGCAGGATGCGTACTGGCATTCAATAACATTGGGTATTCAAATGATAAAGCAACTCTATTCAGATCCATTTAAAAAGAATATTTATTGAACTAAAAGAATAGTTAAAAAATATGTACCATATTCTTATTTATACAGCTATGGCATATGCAAGTTTAGATGCCTCTTACAAGATGTGTGCTTGTGCTTTTTTATCAGCCTGATGCAGCTAGACCTAGAAATTCATTTTCCGTTTACAGGAAGGTTAGAATAACCCATTAAATCTAAGCTTTTTAACTTTACCTTCAACATAAAATGCTTTTAACTCCCCAGCATTAATAAGTACATTCAGAATAGTGCACTGTCTATCAGAAACAAAATTACAAGTCAAATTCAGCCTGATTCCCATCTCCAAATGCTTAATTTTTTTTTTTTCAGTCAATTGCTTTGCTTTCCAGTGTAACATGTTGCCATAAGGAACTGTGGCAGTCCAGCTAGTGATTAAGTTTGAGCTTTTTTTTTTTCTTTAATTTGAATTCAAATCCTTCACACAGCTTTTGGGTTTTGTATCTTTTTCAGTGAATAATATTTTCCTTACTTCTGAGAGAAAAGTACTTTTGCATAACTATTTCTGTGTATGGAGAAATGTGGAAGGATACGAGCAGCATCAGTATTGCTTATAATCATTATCACTGGTAAGTAAGGAATGTTAAGCTCTGACATCTTTAGCCTTCAGATAAAACTGCTTTCACAAACCAATTTATAATGTCTTGTTCTGGGAGCTTTATGCAGAGATGGAAGAGATGTTAATGTAATAAAATAAACAAAGGAAAGTAGATTAATGGTCTTGTTACTCCTGAACTTCTCAGTTATACTATACATTTATTGTCTTCTTCACTCATTTTTTTCTAACCAGAGTAGAACTGTGGAGTACTGTGTGTTTGTACCAATTTTCTTGATGCTGACAGTGCAGCATTTTGTTAAAAACACAGGTTTTCTCTGAGGAAAAGGAAGACTCTTCTAAGTGGTATTGGTGGATGATAACTGCTTATGTGGATATCATTAACCCCTGTGTATGCAATTCAAAGTTTGCGTTCAAGAAAGTGCATTGAATTAATGAGCTAAAAACCAAACTGACCAACCAAAGAACAGAGGTAAAAGAGCAATCAGGTTTGCACCAAAAGGTTACAACTTATTAGCTGTGAGACAAAACTAATATAAACCCATCTGGAAAGGTGGCTTTTTGCAAATGCCAAAATTAGGACTGTGTGCCATATCATCTCCTCTTAAGCAGGTAAAATAGAGGTTAAGCTGGACTCAGGGGGACCATGGCCTGTGCTGACCCAAGGCCACTGGCATATAGGTGCCCTGTAAGACTACTCAGACCAAGAGCTCCTCACAGGTAGACCAATGGGTCCAGAATCTGCTTCTTCTTCTTATCTGAAGAGTATTGCTTATAGCCTTATGTCAAGTTCAAAGACTTTTTCTCAGCACAGCACAGCTTCTCTGCTGCCATTTAAGGTAAGGCAGTAAAAGTTTTTCCTGACATGACAATTGTCAGACTTACCAACCTTCCAGTTTTCCCCCATTAGAGAGGAGACCTTGAAAGGCTGAATGTTTTCTTGCCAGTATAAAAGCCGTCTCCATTATTGCAAACAATAGACAGTTAAAGAAAATTAAACAAACTAATGCTACACACACAAAAAAGAAAAAGCAAATAAGAAAAAGACATGAAAACATAGGGCACTGTGGGAACTAATACTGCTGAGTATTGCCAGCACTATAAAACAAGTCTTAAAGCAGTTAAAAGTTAAATTACATAACTCAAGACTGCTGTGGCCTGATTGAAAACGATTTGAATTAATGAGAAGGCTCATGGTGTGTGCCGGCATTATGGGAGGCAAAGACCAGACTGGAACACAGGCTTACATTGTTTAAACTTGTCACACATTTTTCTGCTCACACAGCTGACTATTCCCCTCAGCTCAGTGCCCAAAACCAGATTCATATGACCAAAACCAGGACAGTCTTTAAGACAGGTGCTTACCCCAGAACCTTACCCAGCAGTTAGTCCAAGTCCAAGTCCTCTTCTGGTTCCATGTGGTGCCCTGTGTGGTCCTAAAGCATAATTTTTAGTTTGTGGGTTTTTTTGGCTGATTATGTATCAGATCAAAATGTGCCAGATAGATGAGTGCAGAATACATGAGTGTCCTCACCTCATGGAAGCAACAGTGCAAGTAGCATTCACTGAGTGGTGGCAAAGTCACAGCAGGCAACATCTTGCTGCACCTGTGAAAAAGTGCCAGTTTTAGCAGGACACAGACATGTCAGCAGAGTGGGTCAGCACTTAGGTCCACTTAAGTTCTTCACCTCCTCTGTACTAAATGCTAAGAAGAGCTAACATGGCATACAGACTTAATTTTGGCACTTGCACAATATCATGTTTCTCTATTGGCTTATTTTCTTATGAGTAGCTGGTGTGGGAGGTAGCCTGGGAATTAGGGACACCATGAGACCAACGGAAGGGAGCTGCTGTGGGGTGCCTGGTGAACCTTAGTTTCTGGAGAATGGTGGAGATCCCACGTAACTTGTAAGCTGGGAAAGAGCATCCCAGAGCCCAAAGGAAGCTTGGTTAGTGAGATAGAAGGCTTGCAATGGGTCAGAGACAGATACCTGTCCATATCCATGAGACCCAAAGCCTGCCACCTCTCTGAGCCTTTCTTGGTCTTTCCTGGTCCCCATCCTAAAGTCCTAGGCCTGTTGCTCAACCACCTCAACATCTTTTTTTTTTCTCCCACAGTGTTATTGCCATATCCATTGCAAAATCAAATTTTGCTACCCTTCTTCCTCCACACACCATGAAAAGAAGGAAATTACTTTATTTCTTGGTAATCTTGGAATAAAATTTATCTATACATATTCTGCTGAAGAGTACTGAGTGGCTTTGAAAAAAATCCCTGTCTACCTTATAGTTAAGCACCAAGACAGTTGTAAACATGGTAGAGCTTGGACAGAGGGAGATTTGCGCTGGAAGTGAGCTTTACTGCATTCTAAAATAAGGTTCTCATCATGACAATAGCTTGTTTCTGTGTCCTGATCTGTCAGATCAGGGTCTTATCACTGAACCTCATCTTGAACCTGAATGGAAAATTCTCATCCCAAACAAACACTGCTGAAAACAGACTGGTATTTATGATCTCTGACCCTTTCCCCAGATAATATATTCTGTATTCCAGTAAAAGTAAGTTGCAAGTGTCTGTGATATGTTCCAGGAAATCAATGTTTTTTTGAGGTAGTAAACTAACTGTTCTAGCTCCTCTGCCCTTGCCTGGAGTTGGAAAAGACCTCAAAGATCATTGAGTCACACAGCCCACACTGTCAAATGCACCACTAAAACATGTCTCTAATGCCAAATCTATGTCTTTAAATACCTCCAGGTATAGTGACTCAACTAGTATCCCTGGGCAGCCCCTTCCAATGCTGTGCAGTGAAGAAAGTTTTCCTAAAAATTCATGACCACACTCCCCTTCTGCTCTCCCACAGCCCTGCTGGGTGCTGGCATACTTTATGGAATTCCTTTATATTACTGGGGAGGCAGTGAGGAGTAACAAAGCTCCCTCAGGTGCAGTGAGGCACTTTTCCATTGACAGTATCTTTGTCCAATGCTTCATTTTAAAATTCATTGTGAATTGATCAGGGAGCACATTTTTCATGACTTAATGGGTGGCTTTATTTGCTTCTGACTTTAAGAGTTCTCTAAAGCCACCAGTTCCCTTTAGGCTACAAATGGAATGTTGCTGGGAGATTTGTTCCATTGGATGCCTTTAGAAATCCTCCCTCTAGCCCCAACAATAACTTACTAAGTGAGAGGGATGGGAAGTGGGTTTATGCTGCAGCTGGTTAGTAGAAAACATTCCTATCAAGGACACATTACCATGGAAATCTAGGATTTAGTGTGTCACTGGTAGCAAGGTAACCATCAGAAAATGCTACAGTTTGGCATCACAAAAGTAGCCTCAATCTATGAAGCTTAATCTTGCATGCAGTGATTCAAAGGTACACCATAAAAAAAAAAAAAAAAAAAGTGGCTCTGCAAGAGTGAAGTAAGTTCAAGGCTACTGCAAAGAGGGGAAGAATAATCTCAGTGGATGAGAGAAGAGCAATGAGCATGTATCAAGGAAAATTCAGGCTGGATTTGAGAAAAACCTTTTAAATGGTAGAAGTAGTGAAGCACTGCAATAGATTTTCTGGGGTTGATATGGATCTGCAGAACTGGAAATCTTTAAGAACTTATGAGACAAAAATATATGAGTTAGGGCATCACTGAAGCTGATCTTGCCATGGCATAGGACAATCTAGATGACCCCCTGAATTTCCTTTAGATTATTTTTATCTAAAAGTGTGTTTTTTATTGCATGGCTCTTGACATTTTATGCTTTGCTTGTAGTACTGCATTCTGGAAACAAGGACGGTAGCTGTCACTTCACACTGCGATCCTGAAGATGAATTCTAAAATACGGCTAATCAAAAAGAAATAAAGTAAGTCCAAAGGAGGAAACAGAGTGATTTTGAGCCATGCCTATGTTTGTGATTATTTTTTATTGACAAAACTAGAGAAGTCCAAAATATAAGGTAGAGGAACTTCTTTCTGGTGAGTGTTACATACTGCCATGAAACTTGCATTCCAGTAAGAATTAAATTTTGCTAGAGGCAGAGATTTTTAAAGGCTTCCCAATGCCTGAAAAACATGGAGGCTGTTGTCTATGCATATTTATTTATCCATTTTTCACCAGGAAAACACTTTTACAGTCATTACGGCAGTGCTTTAGAGAGTTTAATATAATTGAGATGCTGTAGGCAGAGGAAAAAAATTGTGTTTCGGAGGTGGAGCTCCCAAAGGAAACTGAGTTCTGGCTCCAGCTACATTTTCTTGCTAGAATCCTGCTTTTTAGATAAATGTCAGACAGGAGTTCAAAGCTGAAAATAGAAGCAGATGATGAAAATAATTCTAATCGCTAAAGCAAGGCACAGAAACAGCAGAATAGGAAAGTGGTCCTAGGTGGAGCTAATAAATCCATGTCTGACAGCCAGAAACATTGGAGTGTACAAGTTATATGCTTTTATCCAGGGAGATTTTTTGAGCAAGATTGAGGTTTTAATGTGATTGCCTTCTTGTGACAATTAGAAGGAACTGCATTATTCGTTGCAGGGAGAGGGCACTGAGCAAAGGTCACTGAGCGCTCAGTCTTCCACACTGCACTTGAATCACCTTCGGTAGCAAATTGCATGCTCCATTTTAAACAAGAAAATAGAGGCAAATCACAATAGCTGAGAAAGAATGGAAGCATGCACAGGCTCTTCTGGGTGTAGATGAACACTGAATGTCATGCTAAGAGAATGGCTAAAAGACAGTAAGAAATAAAAATGACATGTCCTATTTACATTTCTTTGTGTATTTTAAAATACAGCTGTTCTATTCTTATGTTTTTGTTGAAATACATGGATATTTAAGTCACAGGAATAAAGCAACACAAGAAATGCAACCCCTCCTTCCCCTATACCCTCCATTTCAGCGATTAAAGTAGTGTGGATACTTTGATGTTTTAAATTCTAATTCCTTTGTTGTGATTTTATGGTTGCTTTGAAGGTTACTTTGTTGCTTTTTAGTATTTTCTTTCCTAATAGTTTTATCAAGAGATGCTTCTATTACAGCTAAGGCACTTAAAGGGAATACATTATTTAAAAGTGAAATGGAGAGAGAGAAAATGTAAGACTGTGGTGCATTTTTTTCTTTGTCATTCACAGACATAATAGAACAACTCAGAAGACAAAAAAAAAAGATGCAGGAAACGACATACTCTCTTGACTTATCTGCTAGCCACATCCAGATGTGGTCCTTCCACCTTTAACTAACACCAGCTTTGTTTCCAGAATACAAACAAGCAAGTAGCTTATGTCTATGTATTATGAAGGGGAAAAAAGCAAGGCACTGATTTAAAAAAATGGCTGAACAGACCTACTGCGTCTGACAGTCGAAAAGGGTCTTTCTTTCTAACTGCTTCCATGCATTTATACTATGCCAACCATTCTCAACCCAATGCATTTTATTATAATAATAATTGTTCTTTATTGCAGTAACATGTAAGGATTCCAAATAGGGTTCAAGACCCTATTATTCTAGGCACCATCCATGTGCATAATAAAACCATCTCTGCTGTAAAGAGCTTATGATCTTGACATATGACAAGGCATAACAGTAAAAGAGAACAAACAATTGCAGGGGAGGGGAGGAAGAGAAGCTATCAAGAAAGCCAATACACAGGGTGTGCTAAGTAGCAGTGTCTGACACTAACTGATTAGCTGTTGTCAAGGGCTTTGTATAATCTGTAGAAATAGTTTTTCACTGTGCCTTCTATATCAGTTAGTTTCCAGTTTATAAAATGCAAATGTTGTCTTTACACCTCTTGAATAAACTGCTGGGGGAATGGGGAAAGGAAAGCTGAAAGACAGAAATTATATAGGCTCTCTAAAGGATAAGACACAAGGATATGGGAGCTTGTGCCAACCATACCTGATACCTGTGACCAAATACATTAAGGGAAATTTCACAACTTCAGTCTTTAGAAAGTCTAAAGGAAAGTGGGATCACTTTTGGTGTTAATACTTTACCATATACCTTTTGCAGATATGGGAAAACAATGCATGTTTACACAATTTGTGGGTAAAGTATCTTATTTTTTTCCCTTGTTTAAGAGTTTTTAAATAGTGAACTTTGTAATTTGGATCACAGTAAAAAGAGACTGAAACAGCTTCTTTGACTGAAATGCAGAAATCGAGATCTCAATTTTCTCTTCCTGTTCTTGAATTACATGATCATAACACCCCTTCCCAGAACAGAATTTATATAGATTTCCTATAATACACATGGGTGCTAGCATCCTGTAAATTTTCTGCTAGTCAATTATTATGTGGGCATATAAATGAGAATGGATTACCACAGAGATGTGAAAGTAGAAATAAAGATAGCTGCATTTTTTTTTTGGTCTCAGCAAAACCTTAAGAGAAACTGTAAATATTGGCAGTTCCTCAGTTTAAGCTTTTAAATGTAATGTTTTGGAAGTATTATTATTGGCTTCTTTGAAGTGAAAAAGAAGTTGTTGAAATTTTATGCTGTGGAAAAAAATAAGTGGTAAACAAAGTACATTAATATGCCAAAAATATGTAATTTAATAATATTTCTCCAGGATATATATAACAGCACTGCCTGTTCCTCACTGGCACGCATGCATTTTGCCATCAACACCCCTATGAGTTATACGGTCAAGAGTCTTCTTGTCACACGAAGATGTACAGAGATGGTAGAAGTGCTGGGGATGCCTCACACAGACTGTCAGTGAGTTACCTCAGGTGCCTAATGCTGAACTGTGCTGAGGATCTGTTGGCTGTGGGGTGGGAACACCAGGCTGGAAGCTGTGGCTGCAGTTGTCTCTTGGGGACCAGGATACTCCTGTGAGCTGCCTTGAATATGAAAAGATTGAAGATGCTAAAGTGCCTGCAGAGCTGAGGAGCCAGAGTGGCTCCCAGGGGGACATGGCTGTGGTGGTGGTAGCAGTGAACAGGGCTCATGGATCCAGTTTTTAATGGCCAGATATGGCTGAGACACTTTCAAGACAGCATAGGTTGAATTCAGGCAGTTAGTCTCCCAAGTACCCTGGAGGTGGACTTCTCCACAGGGACATTCAGAACAGACTTGTACTTTCTCTCAATCTAAATTCTGTGTAGGCAGTATAAAGTTATTACAGTCCTGTCTCTGGGGAATGATCTCACTGAAAGTGAATCCCACAACCTTGTAGTCTTGTTTTGTTAATATAGTTAGCATAAAATTTTACTATACGTTAGCCTAAAAGTTACAATAACACAATGTTTGCAAGTAGGTTTTTCCTTTGGGTGATGAACAGGGATATGTGTGTGTAACTAACTGTGCTGTGCATCCATTCTCCATGGGAGGGTATCAGAGAATGGCCTTCTCAATTCCAATAACTAACTATGGTTATCAGCAAGTTTTGCACTGGTCCAAGACAGCCGTCACCTCCAGAAATCAGTGATTATTGTGAAGTGCTTTTCTCCTTCCACAGAATTCCAATAACTCTTTGGCAGCTTAATCCAGATGTAGATGGGTAAAATAAACTGTGATGAACCCCCACCTTGGTGCTTCTGCCTTTGAAAAGGTGTAATGAGTGAACAGCAGAAACTCTGTGGCAGAGCATCACTCTAGAAGAACTTTTCCGAGAAAGCTTTGACTGGAAAACTGAAATGCCTGGTGTCTCCATCTCTCCGGCTTAATGTGCTAAAAGCATTAAATATATGTGTCTTAGCTTTTGCTCTTTTCCCATATTTTCCTCCTGGCTAGATCAGGTGCTGCCTTCCTTGACGTGATGGCTTTGATGTATTGTTAGAGTTATTTTGCAGATGACATGGAGAGCCTGGGGAGCCAAATCCAGCTGAGCACTACCCTGAGCAGTGGCTTGTCTGAGAGGTGGGTACTGCAATGGTGACTAGCTACCATATTCTCAAATTTAACCTTTCATACACAGCTGTTTTGCTTATGAATTGAAAGTTGCTCTTTTCTGTTTTCTGTATCAAACACATGTGCACACACACACACACATGTACACAGATGTGTACATATTATCAGTATATATGCGCACACATGCGCTTTTTCCCTGAACCTACAAAACAAACAAATATCTTTTTCCTGCTCAGCTGAATTGTTTTCCACTGTTTGCCACTGTTTTACAAAGTGGATTTTAAGAATTTAGCAGAAAAAATAAAACCCATAGGAAAAAAAAGCTAGCTTTCAATCCAGTCGGTGTCAATTAAAAGGGAGCCTCGGATGCAAATGCCACATCAGCACCAATTTTGTCACTAAGAACTTTAAGATCAGAAGCAATTACCTTCAATAGCACCTTGTTTTTATGTGTCTACCCTTCATAGCCTTGGCTAGTAACTCGGCCTACACCATAATTTACACTGACATCTAATTTCAGTGGATCTGCAAGCAATCTAACTGAAGATGGAGATACTGAGAGTGAGGAGTCCTGCTTTATCACTGCAGACATAAAGATTCATTATTTTTTGCCAATTCAGAAAGTGAGACTTATGGGAATGGAGCTTTTTTTCATGTGTGTATGTGCCTGTTTTGCATATCTCATTACTTGAATTATTTCCTGGTTTAGGCAAATGATTGCTGCCTTTAACTAGATGATTAAACACTCTAACAGCTCACAAAGGGAAAAAAAAAAAGCCAAGTGCTACTAGTATTCAGTAGATTTGCCATTTTCAAGCATCTCTGCAAAATGAAAGCAAAAGAGAAAGAATGCATTCACTGCTAATCATATTCTTTGAAGTATAGAATAGACCTGGCAATTTTATATTGTGCGTGAAAGTAACAGTATTAGACTAAGATTATTTTAAGAAACACTTTTATCATTTTCTAACTGACAGAGAGGGCAAGCCTGCCAGCCATGCAGGTTGATGTTTCCTCATGAAACAATGAAAGAACCCCACAATGTTGTGATTAATGGCTTGCATCCATTTTCTCTGATCCTCAAACTTGAATATAGAAAGCAGAGCTGATCTCTATGCTATTATCCAGCTTTCTATTCAGACCAGGCTAATACCAGCACAACTTCTTTTGTGACACTTGTTCCCCAAGCCAAGAAATTTGCATATCACAGAGAATAAGGCTATGTAGCCCAGTTGTTGATTTTGATGGTGCAAAGAACTGTCAGGGTTATTTTTGTCACAGAGTGTGGTTTTAAAGTAGGTGTTAAAAAACCAGTATGTATTCTTGCTTGTTATTTTACATGATGCAAAACTGCTCATTGTTGTAAATACATAATTAGTAAGAGAAATGCTTGTGAGTTGTATGTCAGTCAGCGTGTACCTTTTCAATTAGCGTTACGCAGATGGTGAAACAAGACAGTTGTTACTAAAGGCAACTCTTGCTTCTCTGAAAATGCAATTGCCCTTGCAGCTCTCCTTCAGAGAGTTCTTTGAGACTGTTGTAGGTCACTTTCTTACAAACTCTTGCAGAACAGTTGTAAATGCCATAAATCAAAAGTTTAGGTGACTTATGCTTTTGGTTCATGTTCTTAAGGTCTGCCAGAGAAAGTGACCCGTTTCAAATTGGACCAAAAGACAAAGAGCCTGAACACAGAAGGACACTCCAGTCTGACAAGCATTGCTTAAGGACTGTGATGCTGAGGGCAGTGTACTTGCTCAGCACACGACTTATCACTTTTGTCCACTTGCACATGAAATGATCACCATAGTGGGAGGGAATAAAGAAGAAAAACCCTGCTGTGAAGAGGGAGAAGAAACGGGAGGGAGAAGTTCTTAGTCATGCCTGTTGTAAAAGTATTGGCTGCAGGATCTTAAAGTATAAACCAAACTGATGAAGGGATAAAAAAGGACAGTTTTACTGCTTTAGTTTTTTGCCGTTTTTCCATGATGGGAATTCAGGTTTTCTAAAGCATAACCCGTGGTACAGAAGTTATAGCAAGCAAACAAATAAATACCAATGCAGATGAATATACTAAATTGACTCAGTCAGATTCCTGAGCTTCTAGTACTTAATCTTCTACTGTAACACAGCTGAATTGGCAGAAGTGGAAATGCATTTGGAAAGTTCAAGCATTTTTAATCCTGCTGCATAAATTGAGCTATTAATTCTAAATTACAGGGAAAAAGCACTGTTTTATCAGAAGCAAAATTAGGACTTTCTCTACAGAAAGCACTCCACCTAGCATCATTTAAGTAGTCCTAATTAATTATTTAGTCAAAGGAGCAATGAAATTAACTGAAACACCAACAGTTAGATCCCCATACAAAGGGCATTTGGAACCAAAATATTTTTGATCTTTCAAGATAGCTTTTGTTACTCTAGGTGTTATCCTGTTTGCAGGTCAAATGCTATAAGTATGGAAACATAAATGGCATCAGGCCTAACTGCACCTTTACTGTTTACAGACCAAAGACTTCTTTTTGCCTTCCTGGAGGGCTGGGAAGTCAGTCACAGCCATATGACATACTCAGGGGGATGGCTTGCACCTGGAGAGTAAGCAAAACTCATCCCTCCCCTGCCCTGCACCTCCACAGTGCTCACCCAGGGAAATGTTCCAAATGGTCTCACTCCCCTCATCAGGCTTCATTAACCAGGTCCAAACGCTCCAGACTTTCTTTAGTGGAAGCTTCTTCTAGATACTAGGCAGCCTTCTCAGACTGAAGTTATTGAGGCAGAACAGAGACCAATGACCATTTCACCTTCCTTGATTGATTTTCTCAGCAGTTACAGAAATGAAGGTCCTGAGAGCTCTGAAGGATAGCAAGGTCTTTACATTATTCTTCGGTGAACCGTCAGTCTTTCCCTTTGCTTTTTAGCTCTCCATTGACTTCTAATAACCTTTCTGAGACACCAATTTATTCCATTAGAACAGGAACTTTCCACATGAGAGTTTCACAGTACTTGGGGTACAAGTTAAAGATAAGTTTATGCTACTGTTTTCAGAGGATATAGACATAGAGGAAACCTCCTTGAGCCTTCCAGACAATCAGACAGTCTACTTCCAGAAATTCTTCCTGTTCAAGATTTTGAAATTGGAAGCTTCACTACAAATGCAATCTTTGTTCATATTTTTAACATAATTTAAGGCAGCTGTGATAACTTCTTTCAATATAATTTTGTGTGATTACCTCTTCATTGTTGACCCAAAGATGACCCATCCGTTTTGCCTTCAAAACTTTCTGTTAAAGAAAACTGGTCAAATGCAATACGCAGAAACATCTGGGCCTTTTTTTTTTTCCCTTGATGTAAGTCCAGGTATCTTTTATTCAGTATAATAATAAAAAATTGAAATCTTCTGAATGTAAATCTGATGTAGGGGTTTTAGAAAAATTTGGCATGATACAAGTCTTTCCTTAAAATAAGTTTTGGTATAAACTAGTTCCACTTTATCTGCTTCATAATTTTTTTCTTTACTCTGTCACACTGTTAATGTACAGTGCAACTACATTGCCTTTATGTTTATTTATGGCTTTCTGAAGAAAGCCTCTACCTGCTTCCCATCAGGATTGCTATTGCTCTATTTTTCTTTTATGGCTGTTACAGCAGTTTAATGTCCTGTACTATTCTCCGCTTTGTTGTCCATGCTTTTTGCATTAATCTAAGAACATTATTTCTCTCAGAAATCATCCTATTTCTTACATGAATTAAATTCCGTAACTTCCACAAGCTCTATTGACTTATACACTCATTTATTTTTATATTATTGCTTTTTTTTTTTTTTTTTGTGTGTGTGTATGTTTCATTTTGAGGGGGTATTTTCTTTATCCACCTGTCTTCTGTGCCTTCTTGTCCATTATTACAGTCTTGTTTATCTGGCTTTTCTTGTCTCTGTGTACTGAAAACAGATGTGAATTATGTCCCAAATGATATCCATAATTTCCATGTTTTCTCATAATACCTGCCTACACTCAGGTTGTGGAATCTCAACGCTACAAGTATTTAATAGAAGTCGGTCTGATTAGTAGGTTCAGAGACAGCTTTTCTGTTGCAAAGCCCCTGATAGACCTCTGAGAATCAGACCCTTCAGGGAGTTATGCAATGCTTCATGGCCAAAACTCTCTGGCAAGGATGCCCGTTGTTTAGCCACTTAATGTTGGTCTGTGAATAAGATCTTCCATACAATTTAAGTATCCTTAGCATTACCTTGATGGAATAGGCAGTAATCTGGTTTTGATAATCATCAGATGTGAGAAGTATCTCTCTTGCCAGTTCTCTGTGTTTACCCCTATAGCCAAGAAATGCTAAGATACAATAAATATTATGAAATACAAATATTAATTAATCACTTACTGTATTTAGTGAAAGAACAACATTCATAAAAGAAAGTCTGTATGTTAGATCATCTCTAAAAGATTTCTTTCTTTCTTTGACCAAACAATCTGTCAAGATGGTTAGATGGACTTACACACACAAGGATTTATTACACAAATTATTTTGCCAACAATATTATGTTCACCGAAGAGAGCCCTTATTTTGAAGATACATATTACCTGATGTGCCATCAATTTCCCATGAGTTTCCTTTAGATTAAGACATTCAAAATGTAAATTCATATCTGAAGAATTCATGTGAGTTCTAACTTGGCTTGGATTCCTGTCTGAATAAACTGCTGAAATTGATTTATTGAGCTAACTAATTTTCATAAAGATTTAGCTTTTTGGCTGTAATTTCTAGAGCCACTGATTATCTAGGTTTTAGGCTGACTATCCTAGTTCATAACTAATCACAAATATACAAATCACCAGGAAAATACTCCTTTCCCCTGAGTGGGAATCAGCAGGCAAATAAATCATGATCAGGAGCATGTCCCCAGATTTTTTCTAACAAACCTCCTTACTCTTAATTCTCCTTATTTTTTTTTTTTTTAAATTTGTTTTTATTATTCCTGTCTTTTCTAGAAAATAAAGATT